CCCCCCCCCCCAGCCCCCCCCGGCTCCTCCCCACCTTGGCCCTCTGAGCAGACTCGGCCAGGAGAGGCTGAGGGAGGCTCTTCCTGCGTCCCCCTAATAGGATTTGCAGAGGGGACCAAGGGAGCAGATCGGCCGGGCGGCTGGAAATCCGAACAGGCCATCTGCCACCAGCGGGGTCACTCTCAGACCTCGGTCCCCAAAGGGCCGGGAAGGGTGTGGCTTAGCGGTCGGTCAGCGAAGCTGGCTGAGGCATTCTGGGAGTTGAAGTCCACAAGATTGCCACGGTTGGAGAGCCCTGGCTTAGGGGGGCCATAGCGTGTTATGCAAACACAAGAAGCGGGTGGATAAACTCGAGTTTAGGACTGCACCAACACAGCCCCTGCTAAGAGGTACCAGAGGCGGGGAAAACTCCTTCGCCAATGTCACTGCGTGGTGGCCCCCTTCTCTTCCCTACTTCTCCGTTGGCCCTCCAGTCATCCTCCGCGTTGCTTCAAGGGAGACGAAGGGAAGTCACGGGCTTCCTGGGAAGCGACGCTTTTTGCTTCCCAGGTCAACTTGGGAGTCTGTTTCCCCTTTAATACCAGGATAAGATGAATCCCCCCCCCACCCCACCCTGGGGAAATCCACGAATCCTCAGAAACCCAACAACTGCAAGGCCAGAATTTTCTCATTTACTTCAAAGCAGACACAGGGGAAGCTAAGTTTAGAACCACCCTATCATCTTCCCCACCCAGAGATTCCAAAAGACATCAGAAATCCTGGTTTAACTGTTGCTGGTTTAACTGTTGGAATTGGGGGAAGTTCCTTGCAAAGTCGGACATGAAGTTGGAAAAAGCAGCCTGTGTCAGTCATGACATCAAGCAGTCTCAAGTAACATAAAACGGAAACTGCTTCCTTGATCCTTATCCTAAATTTGGATGGATCCCCAGGAATTTTGAGGAAGAAGAAGCTGAAAACCCTGAAGGATCCCTTATTTATGAGCCAGAGGGACTTTCCGGTCCATATCCTTAAGCATCACCGCACTCAGGGGTCCAGCGCTTGGCAAAGCAGAAAAGAAAAAACAAGATTCTGAAGCCCATTTTATCACACTGGAAATATCCCAGGTATTTGCCTCTATTGATTTCATAGGTGAGAAGAAAAGTGAAACCCCTGGTCAGCTCTGGACTGAAGGCTTCGAAGGCTTCCAGACATCAGCAGAAGCCAGCCTCTGTCCCCCCCCCCCCCCCCGGTGAGTTCTCCCTGGCTGAAGTCTAACCACTAGACTGTATGACCAACCAAACGGGAACCAGAGGACCGCAAGGGATGCAGTCAGAAGGATGAGGGTTGGGAAGCAGCTGCCAGACCCAGAAGTAGCAGGAAAAGAGCCTGGGTGGGTCTTCAAGGGGTCTGGCTCTAGACATCCCAGAACCCCATGACCCCAAAAATGCAGAGGCAGCCCCACCCCCTGAGATGGTCCCTCTGGGTGCCTCGGAGCACCAGAAGCCCAGCAGGCACAGACAGGTACACCGAGGCCCACCGCTTCTGCTTCCCCATCAAGCAGGCACAGGCCTCTGTGAATCCACCGGGATCAGTTAAGGACACAGACAAATAAAGCCACTTCATGCCACTGACCTGCCGGTTCCTTTCATCCGTAATCCTCTGGATCTGGATCTTTTTCCTCCCCATCTTCTCGCAATACGAGGTGACTCAATTTTTATTTCAAAAAAAAAGATTAAAAAGGAAAAAAAAAATCAGTGCGCGATCATCCAAAAAAAAAAAAAAAAAGCAGCTTTCTTAAAAAAAGGAAAAAAATAGAAAAAAAATTAAGAAGGGAAGAACGGATTTCTTCAGTTCATTATATTCCACTCGGGATAAATCCAGGTGGGGAGTCATAAAAACAAGAACGAAGGAGCCTGCAAGGAAACAGAAGGGAGGAGGGGTTAAAACCACGGCTTGGCTGGGGGGGGGTGAGGGGATCTGGGGCTGCTTGACCTGCACCCCCCCCCCCCCCCCCCCCCCGCATTCCTCCAAAATCAGCTGGGGATCCTGGTATACACACACACACACACACCAGGAAAAACACCATGGATGCGGTTCACCCCCATTTCTCCCTCCGACAATCTCGCAGCAGGTTCCTGACACCCCGGGAAGTAGAAAGGGGGCGTAGGGGGGGGGGGCACCCCACCCCAACATCTTCCAATTGCTACTTCTCTCGACAGGTTGCTTTTCCTTCTGATTCTCCCTAGAAATGCGACGATTTCGCCCCGGCCTCCCCTTTTCTCAGGAGGGCTGCTCTGGGTGATTGGCAGCGCAGCAGCGGAAGCGCCTTCCAAGCCCAAGGAAGGCCGCCTCTCTGCCATGACCCGACTTGAGCGCACAGATTATTATTTCTGTACAGCCGTGCTGCAGGACAACCTCCCGACGCCCCACCTGTCCTTTTCAGAAGGCAACGGGGGGGGGGGGGGGGCGAACAGGAGAGGAGGGTTTCTGGGTCCCCTGCCTGGAAAAAAAGCCCCCCCCCCCAGCTCCACCCTTGGCCAAACCTCCATCAAGCCAGGCCTGACCTGGTTTCCTTCCCGAGCTTCGTGTTGACTTCTCAGCCTGAGATTTTTCTCTCATGCAGGTCCTAAACCCCACTCAATTCTTTTGAGGTCGGCCAAGGTCAGTCCAGGGCAACCAATGCATTCAGAAATGCAAAAAGATGCCTGCAGGCAAATAAAAAAAAGGACCGAATGGTTTAATAATCTATCGGAGATGGTCAAATGAAGGGGTTTAGACTTGATCACCTCTTAAGTCCCTTCAATCCATCCATCCATCCATCAATCAATCATATTTCCTTGCTCAATGAACAGCAAAATTTTAAAAAAACCAAAAGGAACAATTAAAGTACCAGTCAATAAATACAAGACGATACTGAGAGTTAGCAGAAGAAGTAAGAGGAGAGGTGAGCAGGGATTGGACGGGAGGGGTGTCTTAAGGCCCTCCGGACTCTGATTCCCGGGAGGGCAGAGAGGCCTCTGAGAGGCCCCCATCCCTTTTCTCCTCCCCGGGAAGCAGAAGGGGAAGAAAAGTTTAAACCCCAGAGCAGCACAACAGGAAGTGCAAACTGCACACACCTGGCCTGTGCAGGCACAAAAGAGCCACAACCAACCATCAATTCGTGGTTTGTGATTCTTTGAAAACACTCTGTTTCCCACCTGGGCGCTTGGCACTCTGGAAGACCCAGAGGACGGAGAGCCAAACTCCAGGGGGTTCCAGAAGGACCCCCACCTCAAATGTACCAGGCCACCAGATCAGCTTCCCCTCTTCCTCAAAAGCCAACGCAACTGGCACTGCCTTCTTTCCCGCCTGGCGCTTTCTGGTCCAGCTGAGACGGGACCTCTGGTGGCACCCAAGCCTTTGGTTACGAGCCAAACAGACCCCCCCGGAAACCCCCCCCCCCCCCCCCCATCATCTCCTCCATGTCTTGAATCCAGAACAAGCCTCTGCTTCCCACAAGCCCCAGTGTGGACTGTCCCGCTGCGTCTTGCTCTGCCCACCCACAGAAGTGCCCCGTCTCCCCCAAACGGGGGCTGGAATAAACCCTCCCAGCTGGGAAGGCTTCTTCGGTGCCCCTGGCTGGGAGCTGCCACGCATGGGAAGATCCAGTCAAGCCACAGATCACATTTGCCATGGGAAAAAGTACCACTTCATGTAGCAGATGCCACAAGGGGCTTTTGTGCCCAGCTGTCTGGGGAATGGCTGGCAGTCTGTGGGGCAAGCGAAGTGAGGCAGCTGGGAAGAGTTGTGCCAGGCCAGGCCCTTCTTCCCCTGCCTCAGAGGTGCCCACCTGCCAGCTGTGGGAGTGTCAGCTTCCAACAGAATCCCCACCTGAAAAGCCAGCCTGCCAGAAGAGGAGCACAATGACCCAGAACGGAAGGAGGCCTCTGGGGGGGGGGTGTTCACCACAATTACGGGCCTTTTCTGCATTGGCTCCTGGCAAGAGCAGAGAGCCTCACCGGGCGACCAAAGTCTTTTTAATGGGGAGGGGATTCTCAAGGGATTCCTTTCATGCCCAGAGCTGCCGGCTGCACCCAACCCAGGTCCCCCACAGAAGCTGCACCTGCTTCCACAGCACCCGACCAGTACAGGAAGGTGCAACTGGGGAGTCAGCAAGAGGCCACCCCGCCCCCCTTCTGCCAACCCCAAGCAGCAGCTGAGCCCAGGCAAGATTTGCATACTCATTGGGGGGGGCTGCATCTCCTGTTTTGGGGGAGGGTGTTGGATATCTCCCACAATTCACCAGGCAACTAACACCCCTCCCCAGCTGACAGCAGCAGCAGGGCAGGGTCCCACTGATCACAATCTGTCCCCTATCGCAACACCAGAGCCCCCACCCCGCCCGGGGCTGCCCCCGCAGCTCCCCCAACCGACGACACCCCCGCCCGCCCCCCCCCCCCGCCTCTGCTGAAATACCTCCAGCGAAGGAGAGCCTGCCGGCGTGCCCTGGGGGGAGCGGAGGCAGCTGCTTCCCTTGACTGGCCTAAGGGATCTTTTCTTGATGTCCAGCCAGAATGTGCTGCATTGCACTTCAACCCGCCGCCCTTGTCTTCCCTTCTGGAACAACTCTGAGCCAATCTGCCCCGTTGCCTGCATGGCAGCCCCGGAGAGGTCTGAAGACAGCCGAGTTGTCTTGGCAGACGCTTCCCTTCTTCAGGCTAAATCCTGACAGGGCCAGCCTCTCCGCCTTGCAAATGTTGTCCTCCCAGAGGTCTTGCCCTGCTCCTCCTCCAGGCCTGCCCCAGGGCATCAACCTCTTTCCTCAAATATGCTGCCCTAAACTGGACATGCTATTCGAGGGCCGGGTGGACCAGTGCAGAACCAAGAGGAACAACGGCTTTCCCTGAGCTGACTTTCGTGGCAGAGGCAGCCGAGGATTTGCCGTGGCATGACGCGGGTCAAATTGATCAACTTTCAATTTCCAAACATTAGGGATGCTCAAAAGGTATGACATGTCTTGGGGTTTTTTTGTAAAGATATTTTGGTTACTTTAATATAGTTTAGATGTGCTTGGTAAGTAGACCTAAATATCATAATTATTAAATGTTGTACCTGATGATTCTTGACTCTTAATGAATGTCTCTTTTCTTTTATGTACACTGAGAATATTTGCACCAAGACAAATTCTTTGTGTGTCCAATCACACTTGGCCAATAAAGAATTCTGTTTATTAACATTTTGCTTCATTTCTGACCTCCTCTGCCGCTTTAACCAACACTCCTAGGTCCTCTCTGGCTGCGGCCGAGATATTTTCCACCGAAAGCAGAATCCGCTGGCTTAAGCAGTGGGGGGGGGGGCTTCCTCCACTTGCTTGCACAGTCCCAGCCGAGGAGGGGGCCCTGCATTGCTTGCCAGAACCCTGAGAAGCAAAGACGACCAAGACTAGGTGCCCCCCCCCTCCTTCCCAGCATTTGCTGAGCTTGGGCACCAAGTAAAGATTTGAGCCTCAAATGTTCAAGTTCTCAAAAAACTTCTTGCAAAGAACCAGATTGGCGATCTGCTTTCCATAATGAGAGAGATGGTAGACAGACACAATTGTCCCACGTTTGTAGGAAGTGCCTGGCTACGCTGGAACCTGGTTGGGGAGCCCTGCCGTTTCACACGGGGCTGGGAAAACCAGTGGTGCCCGTTGGGTAAGCACAGGTCAGGCCCCGGAGCACCCCACAAGGCCCCGCAAGACCGGCTCCAGCGGCTGCCGAAGGGGCCCCGAGAGGCCTCCCGGAGGGGAAGCTCAGTCTGCTCAGCCACAGACGCAGGGCCCGCCGGCAGCAGAGAAGGAGGGAGGAGCGAAGGGGTGCCCAGAGGAACGCTTCCTTGGAAGAGGAAGACAAGCGTGCCAGGGGCGAGTTTGGCAGGCGGGAGGAAAGGCAGGTAGTGGAGAGCAGGGACGTTTTCCAGAAGAGAGGGAGGGCCTCCGCAGGCCCTTGCACATGTGGTGCTGCTCCGGAAGACGGGCAGAAAGCCTGACCTAGTTTGCAAAGAGAGATCTGGCTCACAAGGAGCTGCCCAGGTGGGGGGAGGGCAGAGGGGGAGTGGGTGGCAACTGGGAAGCCACCGGCCCCCGAGGCCACCCCCAAAGGGGCATCAGGTGCTATTTCCTGCTGGTGCCCTCAAGAGAGGGCCGAGAGCAAGAACTGGCACCTTGGCCACCTGTCCTCCCACGGCAGGCAGGCAGGCAGGTGCCCCTCCCCTCCTAACCCTTCTCTCTCTCTCAAATCTGTGGAGAGGCAGGGCCAAAGGAGGAACATCAGGCAGCCAGGATGCAAGGATGCAGAGGGAATGGTCTCCATGGCAACTATTACTATGCAACAGAGTTAGAGGTCCCCCCCCCTTCCCAAGCCCCCTCCCCCTGCTTGCAAGATAAGTAGGTAAGCAGAGGACAGGGATGGCCGCCATTTGCAGCAAACGGAGGGGAAAGCGAGCAGCAGGGCCAGGAGAGGGGGGGCTTTGTCAGCCCCCAAGCTCACAGCTGTCGGCCCCCCCCCCTTTTCTGGGCCTGAGAAGATGGGGTTGCCTGAGCAGGCATAGCAGCAGATGTTTGGGGGCACCAGGCCCAAAAGTGCTGCTTCTAAACCTTGAGGGTGCAGAGAGAGAGAGAGAGAGAGACTAGAGGGCCGGAGCAAACCCCCCCCAAGGGGAAGGACACCAGCCCAAAGGACGCAAATGCGGGTCCGGAGCCACAGAAAAGAGGATCGAGTTTCTTTCATTGCAAGATTGTAAGTTGCCTTTAACGCACCTGGGAAAGAACATCACCGCCAGTGTATCATTTGGCCATAAACAAACAGGGGTCCCGGCAGGGTCATTCAATCCCGTTGTTGGATTAAAATAAGAAACACATTTATAAGATCCATTAAGCTCCCCAAAGCTTCTGATG